TGTTTTTTGAAGTGAAAACATTAATGCATCATGAATTTATTTCAGCATCTATGTGCTTGTACAATGAAGATGATCCTGTGTTGTTTTGAATGAAGTCTATGGTAGAGCTAATTGAAAAAAATTATTCCCCTTCTTTTGTTCTACTGACTTGTTAGATAGTCTTTTAATCTTAGAAAAACTGGCACTGATAATAATTAACATTCTTGAAATAATTAACATGTCGTGAACGAAAAAAATTGCCAAATGTAACCATTTCCCATTATATTTCTCGTAGCATTTACACCAAGACAGAGTGCAAGGGAGATGAAAGTTCTGTTGATTTAATTTACTAGGAAATCTGAATATGAAGAGAAAGAAAACAACTTACAAGATTGGAGATAGTTCCACTTGAAAAATCTAGAACTAGATTTAATGCTCTCAAAACAAGCACTAAACTTGGAGATCATTTCTATCTGTCATTAACATTTCAATATTATAGATGCAGCTTTCCTAGGTATAAGCATCAGTGCTATGTTGGAATCTGAATATCAGGACTGGATGGGGACTATAGGTATAAGCATCAGTGCTATGGACATTTGCTGACTGATATAGACTCTAAATGGGGTAACCAAACAAGCTTATTTTATCGAACTCTTTAAATTCCTAAGGTATACTTTTCTCAAAGTATATTGACTTCAAATGTATGCATTTTTATTTGGTCAAGTGAATTGAAAGTATCATCAATGCCATTAGAAAGGCATTGAGCTGGTTTTGGAATTGAATATGGAAATAATTGATTGTGAACTATTGCCCAAATCAGAAAAAAAATAAAAAAAGAGAGATTCAGCTGGTGTAATAGAAACATGATATGGCCATTTGTTTACTAGAAAAAAGGCTCATGTTAGGCATCTTTGGCGTGTTGCTATATTTTAATTGTTTATTTTTTGCTAGAAAAAACTTTTACAGTCTAACCACATTCATTGAATAAAGATTTGTTCGGTAACTTTGGGCTAATACATTAATTTTGGTAATTGATGTATTAATCAAGTTGCTGGATCGAACCTTATATAATAGCTGGTACTCTGACGTATTGTATTTGAGTCTCACAGTTAAATCTATTTGGATGTGTTACTTTTGTAGAGTTTTTTGTCGCACACCACACAATTACAAATATAGATTAATTTGAGAGTGACTTCTTATTTTACTCTGCATTTGATTGGTTATAGACATTATATGCGCTTTTCTTTTATTGTAAACTACTATTAGAGTTATTACTTTGGCTCATGCTGATATATTTTCAAATCAAACAAATGAAGCATCTTCGCTTTCTGTTGTGGCACAGACCAGTACCAGAGTCGAGGTGGGGCTCTGTACCCGCTGCTGGTTCGAAGCACGGAAATATGCTGGATGATCCTTTTGTAGTTCTAGGATCAGATTCAACCCCGCACTCATCTTCTGGGGTATTTACTGATCCTCTGGAAGATATTGCAAAGCTTAGTAAGTCTAGAAGTGCGAGGGCCGAAGTTTCTTCTGGTACAGGTGGAGCATTTGATGACGTAGACCCCCTTGGGACTAGTGGAAAATCTGCACATGTATTGTCCCCTGGGAGAGATCACATAGGTAAGGGTGGGAGCCCTTCTAGATCAGAAATGCCACAATCTTCTACTGGCCGGGAACCAATGAGGACCTCGTCTTTCAGATATTCAGAAAGCAGTACAGCAAAGAAAGATCCTGTAGACAATTTTCAGGAATCTCCCTTATTTGATATACATAATGTTTCAACAGATTCACAGAAATCATTTGGTCAGACTGCTTCTCCTCAATATTATGGAACAGGCCCACAGGTCGATATGTCACAAGTATCAGAACAGGGACATCAAAATGACGATGTATGGCTCACTGTGTCTGAGATTCCACTTTTTACACAGCCTACAGCTGCTCCACCCCCATCACGACATCCTCCACCTATACCCCGTAAATCTTCAAAGTCTGAGACAGGTTCCTATTTTTCAAGTTCAAGAAAGAAGGGAGATGAGTTCTCTTCACCTTCATATAATTCTCAGCACTTCGAAAGTTCTAAGCCCGAGTGGTCTGCAGACAAGAGCCCTCCAGCTTCACAGTTTGATGAGCTTGATGATTTTGCCACGGGCAGATCACAAAACAGTACTGATGAAAATGTGAATCTTCACTCGTCCACCAATCCTTTCTCTGCAGCTGCTGCATCGGCCGCTGCAATGAAAGATGCCATGGATAAAGCTGAGGCTAAATTCAGACATGCTAAGGAAGTGCGTGAAAGAGAGCACGCAAAAGCCGCCAGGTATAAGGACTCGCGGCCGTTGGAGAAAGATGAAACAGACAGTCAGGAAAGAGAATACAAGGAAACGCAGGAGAGATTAGAACGTGAAAGGCAACAAGGTGAAGAAGAAATTGAGATGAAGAGGCTCGAGAGGGAGAGGTTAAGGGAGATTGAAAGGGTGAAGGCCAGACAGGCTGTCGAAAGGGCTAATAGGGAAGCACGTGAACGAGCTGCTGCTGATGCTCGATTGAAAGTTGAAAGGGCTGCTGTTGAGAAGGCAAACGCTGAAGCTCGGGCACGTGCCGGAAGAGTAGCTGTTCAAAGGGCACAAGCTGAAGCTCGTGAAAGAGCTGCTGCCGAAGCTAGAGAAAGAGCGGAAAAAGCTGCTGCAGAAGCTAGGGAAACAGCTGCTGCCGAAGCAAGGGAGAAAGAGACTCGAGACAGAGCTGCTGTGGCAAGGGCAGAAGCAGAAGCCAGGCGTCAAGCCGAACGAGCTGCCGTTGAGAGGGCAGCTGCTGAGGCCAGGGGGAGAGCCGCTGCGGAAGCTCGAGAAAGGGCGGCTGCAGCTGCAGCTTCAAAGATGAATGAACAAAAGAATGATAATGATCTTGAATCTTTTTTCAGCATGGGCCGAGCAAGCAGTGCACCGAGAGATCGAACAAACTCAACTGTAAGTGTCAGTACGGTAACCATGATATACGTGCATAAAATTGCACTTTTAGTCCTGCAGTGGCTGACTTTTATGGTCCTGTATTTTGCTATTATAGCCCCGATGTTGAAAAACCTTTGCAACATTGCCATAGCTTCAATACAATTTCTGTATTTTGTGCCTTGTACGTATGGGAAAGATTCTTAGTCTATTTTTTGGTCTCATCCTCAGGATCCGTTTTCTGATCAGTTCCAGAACAAGGGTGGATCCGAAGATGCTAAAAGGACACCGCCAAGTAGTGGTGCCACGTCTAACATGAAGAAAGCTTCTTCATCTACCAATTTTGTCGATGATCTTTCTTCTATATTTGGGAGTACGTCACTATTTATACCATCCACAATATCGTATTGTTATTAAGTGTTGGAATATTACTTGTGAGTTGTCCCACATTGATTCCATATGACAAATGGGCTTAGTTTATAACTTAGTGGAATACTCTTCCCATCATCAACTGGTTTCGGATGGAACCTTACTAAGGTGGCAACTAGGCTCGTCCTCTTATGCACTTTACCCTTGTGGGTTTGTGTCCCTTCCCCGACTATATAAACCTAACATTAAGATGTCCCACTGACTATTCTGCTAATAATCTTCCTCCAAAGCTGCTTCTTCGGCTGGAGAGTTCCAGGAAGTTGAAGGCGAAACTGAAGAAAGAAGAAGGGCCAGACTGGATCGCCATCAGCGCACTCAAGAGAGAGCGGTATGTCTTTTTGTTCTGTAGCAAACAGTAGTTTCTGCTTAGAATTTTCACGGTTTTTGATATTTAAGGACTACTTTATTGTTTCGTGTGTTTTGTATATTTTCTGCTATTAAGTTCGAGTTTTCTTTCTTAGGCAAAAGCATTGGCCGAGAAAAATCAGCGAGACCTTCAAGCTCAGAGAGAACAAGAAGAAAGACATGTGAGTTTCTGCAAGTAATAGAACTCTACACCTACACAATTTTTCTATATGGGAGTTACTTTTGAAGGAAGAATCTGGATGGATTATTTTGAAGAATGGGATTTATTGCATCAAACATATTCAGAAATCTCATGCGTAATCTTGAATTTACTTTTTGATTCTTATCTGGAAGGATGCTATGCAAATGTTTTCAATAAACTTCTGAAGTTCAGCTAAATTGAGTTTGTAGCCTTTTGAAACATGGTTGCAAACTCGAGATGTTCCAATGAATAAAAACCTGTGTATTTCAAATGTGTTTTATTGGTCTAAACTTCATCCTGGTTCATTACAGAGGATTGCTGAGACGTTGGATATTGAAATCAAGCGTTGGGCTGCTGGCAAAGAAGGAAACTTGCGGGCTTTACTGTCGACTTTACAATATGTGGGCCTCTTTTCAAATTTATAGTGTCATTTAATTCCTTTTAACAGTTTGAGGTCAAACTTGTGTTCCTTGCAGGTACTTTGGCCTGAATGTGGGTGGCAGGCTGTGTCTTTGACCGATTTGATCACTGGAGCCTCTGTCAAAAAAGTTTATAGAAAAGCAACACTATGCATTCACCCCGACAAGGTGCAGCAAAAGGGTGCCACTCTTCAGCAGAAGTATATTGCAGAGAAGGTTTTTGACCTGCTAAAGGTATATTAATAAAACTTGTTCCTTTTTTGTTCTTTCCCTTTTATGCTATTTATAAAATAATTTGCATTTTATTGCCAAGTGTTGTGCCATACTGTGAAATGCGAAATAAAATTGTGGATTCTCGCATGATTGACATATCCATGTTATCAAATATTTACTGGAAGTACCTATGAAGAGCGATCTAATTGTTAAAAAAAAAAAATATTTCTCTTTTCTTTATTGGCATTTGTGTGGCAGATCATCCCCTTAGTTGGTGCATCTTGTAAAGTGGATGGTATTTGTAATTGTAGTAGTTATGTGGATATTAATATATTATAATGCCCATCTAAACACCATTATTATTGCATATAGATGCGAGGGAATTCTCCATTAAGTTTGAAAACTTATATTTCGTGACAGGAAGCTTGGAATAAATTTAACTCAGAGGAGCTCTTCTAAAAGCTGCATTGAACTCGGTACATCTTTCTCTGTATCACTCTATTGTCGACTGGTTCAAAGTATTATGTGCATCAATATGCACACTGGCAGTTCTTGTGCAATTCTTTTTTGGTGTTGCAATTTCTGGATTATGAAAGAGGCTCATGTGCTGCCGAGATGCTTGAGTGGTTTGTACATTTACGCCCGATTGTATATTGACTTCGATCCCGGAATGCAGTGAATCAGAAGGTACATGGTTTGCTTTGGTATAGAATAACATTGTTTTAAATACTATCTTGTATTAAAATGTGTAATCACCCCTGATTATATGATGGGGGTGAAGGTTCTTGCCTTGTCTTATTTATCCTTTCCCCCCCTTTTTGGTTATTTATAATTCTGTATTTAATCTGCGTGACACCGAATATGTTGAGAACCAGAAAATGTCAGATTTTGACTTTGTATTATCGGTTTTGAGTTGAGAGTTTATTTCAAGATAATTAACTCTTGTTTGGCTCACTTGTTGTCAGTAATTTTTGTTTGCAGGAAAAAAAGGTGTGAAAATGTGATTTGGATATAGTTTTATTTTGAAATTTTTTTGTTCCACAAATGTGACAGAGATAATCTTGACTTTTAAAGACTTCATATATGAAAAAAAATAAAAATAATAGTAATAATTTTGGTATCTCTGTGGTGAGGTTGACTTGTGTAATAATCTGGCCGTTGAAAGAAAATTCAGGATTGATTTTCCATAGAATCCAATCATCATTCTTAAATACTACTACCTCCTGATCATTATAAATGTCGTTTTGACTTTTTTGATTCATCCATTTTGTTATGTATCTAGACATATTAACTTTTGTGATTCATCCATTTTGTTATGTATCTAGACATATTAATGTCTAGATACATAACAAAATGGATGAATCACAAAAGTAACGATATTTATAATGAATAGGAGGGAGTAAAAAACAGAGAAAAGCAAGACCAGTTGACCAAATTTTAAGGCATTTTTATTTAATGACAGATTGTAGATAGCAGAGCACAAATGCATATGTCCAAAATAGTGATGTCTATACTCTTTAACTTTTATTATGTAATTACTAAAACTAATATTCCCTCATATTTTCATTATTTGTCGTTTTGAGAAGCAACACGTTAATTAAGAATTTTTTTTTCTTGTCAATATTAACTTTATTTAATGATGTTATGGGAAAGAATGAAGATGAGATATGAAGAGAGGGTTAAAAATGGAAAAATATGGATAATATAGATAAAATGATATTTATTTAATTAATGATCAATTAAGCCAGAATGACATATAATAAAAATAGGAGGGAGTAACAAAAATAATAGTAACTTTTTTTTTTCACATAAAAGATAACATAATTTTATTAAAAGTAAGTGTATTTACTATTTAGCAAGACTACCACCTGAAAAAGCACCTAATATACTAACAAAAAAATAAACAAAAGAAGCCAAAAGACAGGAGAAAAAGAACCCCAATCAAGAAAGAAATGTGCTGCTTCTTCTTTACAAAAAAGAAAAAAAAAAATAAAAAAAAATCTTCTCCACAACAACCCTTCAAAACTAATAAATTAAAATATAGCCCACAACAACTCTTCAGAATCTTCTCAACAAAAATAATATCTAGCCCACACTTGTTCAGGCACTTAGTTGGTATGGCTCAAATACGGGCATTATTTATTTTATTCATTATTTTATTACACTTGTTGTTAGTTGTACATGACAGTTAGACAATCATATGTTTTAACAAATATTCGTTCTTTTAAACTAATATATCATTCTTTTAAATTGAAATGTCATACTACAACAAAGTAAATAAACAATTATGTAATATTTTATAATGTAAATATGTACTTTCGTTAAGAAGTTTGATTAGTTTTCATTACTAATGTTTCATACAAGAATTTGTGTTATTATTATTATTATTATTATTATTATTATTATTATTATTATTATTATTATTATTATTATTATTATTATTATTATTATTATCTATATATATAAAAAGAATTACCATTTATAAAAAATGGCAGGTCAACTATATGGTCAAATTTGCTAATCATTAATAACTTTCCATTAATAATAACTTTTTTATATTATTTTTTTAAATAATCAATTAGCATTAAATGTTGCCACAAATTATGGGTTTTAGATCATTTCAAAATTCAAAATCTCCGCTGGGATTGTAGAGATAAGGTTTCCATCTTGAATTCAAATTGTTTGATTCCGTGGTCAATATATAGCCCACTAAAATAGCCTAAATCTTTGAGTTATTTTTTTTTTTTTTTAACATAATTTGATTATCCTTTAAATGTATGGACTAATTGGGTGATCTTATATTTATAAATCAATGAAGTTATTTTTTTTTTTTTTCGCAGGGTGCTTTAAGGATAATTTAGATTATCTGCCAATGTTTCATCAATCCAAAAATATAAAATGATTAATTTACCACAATCAAGTAATTTAAAAAATTAAATCAAAGTTATATGTTTAGTCAGTATAAAAAATTAAATTCTAACAAAGCATGTGTGTATATTTTGTAAAATATTTATACATTTTAATTTTAAATTTATTTACATATTTTAATTGATTACATAAATAAAAAATACTAACATGAAGTAAATATTTTTCATTACTTAAAATAAAAATAAAAAGAAGACGTACAACTTCTATAATTTTTATAAATAATAATGACATTATATGACAATAAAGTTTATAATAAAATAATTAGTTATCATATAGTGAACAAGAAAAAGTAAAATCGTTATTTTCCCTTATATCAAAGAATGTATATATATATATACTAAAATCAAATTTATTTTAGTATAAATGTGTCAGTTAGATAATATATTAATTAATTTACAAGTTAGCCATAACATTCTCATATTTAATGTTCAGACAACAAAAAACGTTGATTAAAAAATATGGAAAAATAGAAAAACATGTGAAAATAACTCATTTAATATCTCTATCACGTGCATTGCACGAGGCACGTACTAGTTGGTATAAACATAAAATCTATTTCAACTTTCAAGTGTCCCGACACTTATTCTATTCCTTATTTGAAGCCAAACATGCCATAATAAGAGTTGTAATAAAATAATGGTCAGCAAATGAAACAAATAAAAACCGAGTCTTTATTACTACTGACGCTCCAATGATTCGCCTGTAAATTACTCTCAAATTTATTATGAAGACTTCACACCAGTCGCCGTCTCACCTCCCATTCCCTATCATCATTGCTCGTGGTTTTTGATAAGATTTACGCGGAAACTGATACCCACTGGTTTTGTATCCGTTTCGTGGGGTAATTCGAAGTGGGTTTTGTAATTTGTTTTTTTTTTTCTCATTTTTCTTGGAAAAAGAGCAAAGGAAAAAAATGTCCGGCGGAGGAGGGGAAGGGGAAGGGGAAGGGACGACGTTGGAGTTCACGCCGACTTGGGTGGTCGCCGCCGTGTGCACCGTCATCGTAGCCATCTCCCTGGCGGCCGAGCGCCTCCTTCACTACGCCGGAAAGGTTCGTCATTTCTCCCTGTTTATGCGTGTTTCAGTGTTGCTTTAGGATGTAGGCCAAGGTTTCGTTTCTTTTTGTTACACCTTACAATTGCTCCGATTTGAGTTGTATCTCGTGTTTATGCTGTATCCAGTGTTTTTCTGGAGGTACGATCTTGCTATGTGATGTTGAATTTTGCACACTTTCGACTGTGTTTTCCTTTTTAATTTTTTCCCCCTCTTTTTTTTTTCAACAAAGATTCATTTTCTTTCTTTTTTATGGAAATCGAGTAGCTGGGTAGCTACTAAAATCACCACCTTTTGCCAAATTTGTGCAGACTTTGAAGAGGAAGAACCAAAAGCCGCTCTTTGAAGCTTTACAGAAAGTTAAAGAAGGTATCTTTCACCCATTTATGCCAATTCTCTTTTATTTCTCAATGAATGTAAATGTCATCCCTTGACTATTCATTCATTTATAATTATTTGTTTTGTTTTGGATTCTTAACATGGCGAACCAAGCGTACTTGTAGTTGTAGATGTGTGTTCTTTCAATTTAATAGTCTTATCTTCATGTTCCTTGAAGCTGAATTTGTGGTTTTGATATGGTGGGTGTTTTTGTTTTAAACAGAACTGATGCTCTTGGGGTTCATATCTCTTATGTTGACTGTATTCCAAGGCCGTATAGTCAAGATTTGTGTGCCTCGGGATATTATGATACATCTTCTACCATGCTCGTTGCCTTCAGAATCTTCTGGTGGACATGAATCGGGTGCCTCCCCTGAAGTGAGTGGGCCTCATCGGCGTTTGCTTGCTGAAGGAGCTGCTGGAGGCTATTGTTCTGCAAAGGTTAACATAAAAACTGTCATGGCTATACTTTATAATTGTATTTACTGTGATGGAGTATTTATGGCTATTGCTAGCTTGTACTTTAGGCCAATGGTTCTGTTCAGTTATGGATATTCTTACTTTGCTTGTGGTTGAATAAACATTAGTGGCTGTAAGCCAGTGGGGGAAAATGATAATTACATTCAGTTATTTGGTACGGAGACTTGGGAATTTGGGATTGTTGCGACCTATTAAAAGCAGTGTTGTGTAGATTTATCATCATGTGTGGGCATCTGAAAACATTAGCAACATTCCAGCTTGTCAATCAGCATATTGCTTTATGGTTTAACACTGCTGTACTGATAAAGAAAGTTTTAAGTTATTCGCATGCTGAGTTGTGGCACTTAGTGAGAATTTGCTTTACATAGTAAAAATGTAGGAAATCTGACGGTGGATTTGAGGCCAAGAAGCAAAAGCTTAAAGATAAAAGAGAGAGCGGACATAAATGCAGCTAGTCAACTCGCATACATATTCTCATAACCTTTTTTTTTGTTCGCATCACGAGAACATTTTTTTACCACTATTTTTTTTTTATTTTTTTTTTTAT